TCCTTGTCATCAGCATCCCTCCTCGTCGCCATCATCGTCATCATCATCATCATCATCATCATCATCATCATCATCAGCATCATCATCATCATCATCAGCAGCAGCAGCATCAGCATCAGCATCAGCATCAGCATCACATCATCATCATCATCATCAGCAGCAGCAGCAGCATCATCAGCATCATCATCATCATCATCCTCATCCTCATCCTCATCAGCATCATCATCATCGGCAGCAGCATCATCATGATCATCATGTCCACCTTCTCATTCGTGGTCGTCGTCGTCGATCAGCATCGTCGTCATCATCATCGTCATGTTCATCATCATCATCATCATCACCACCATTATCATCCGCGGCAGTACCAGCATCATCACCACCACCACCATCTGCAGCATCATCCTCATCATCATTATCATCAGCATCAGCATCATCATTTTCATGTTGATAATCATATTCATTGTCAGTGTCACCATCATCATCAGTATCAGCATCATCATCAGCAGCATCATCATCGTCGTCGTCGTCGTCAGTCTCGGCATCGCCATCGTCATCGTCAGCATCCTCATCATCAGAGTCGGCAGCAGCAGCAGCATCATGCCTCATCCCTCCTTGTCATCCACCCTCCCTCCCTCCCGCCCTCCCTCCCTCCCTACCTCCCCTCCGCCCCTACCTCCCCTCCGCCTCCTCCGCCCCTACCTCCCCTCCGCCCCTACCTCCCCTCCGCCCCTACCTCCCCTCCGCCCCTACCTCCCCTCCGCCCCTACCTCCCCTCCCACCCTCCCTCCCGCCCTCCCCTCCCTCCCTGCCTCCCCTCCGCCTCCTCGAACCCCCCCTCCCTCGCCCCTCGCCCCTCCCACCTCCCCAGAGGACCCAGACACCGGGGAGCCGTACGCCCCGCGCGACGACGGCAAGGCCCAGAGACGGCACGAAACCCCTCTGGTGGAGCAGGGGGTCTCCTCCTCCTCCTCCTCCTCCTCCTCCTCCTCCTCCTCCTCCTCCTCCTCCTCCTCCTCCTCCTCCTCCTCCTCCTCCTCCTCCTCCTCCTCCTCCCTCCTCCTCCTCCGATGGTGCGGTGGCCACACCGTATGGTGAGTCAGTGGGGGGGATTCTGGGTGACCGCACAGTCCTGGGACTCGGATCGTTCTCCAGGGGTTTCTCCGGCACTGGGGGGCCTCCAGGGTCCAAAAGCCGTGCGGCGACGGACCGTGCGGTAAGGTCGCTGGGGATTCCGAGGTCACCGCACGGTCTGTCACCACACCATTTTGGGACCCCCACAGGATCAGGGGGTACGACAGGGAGGGGGAAGGGTCAGCATCGCCTAACCGATCCCCATCCCCCATTGGACTATGGCATCTCGGCCCACCCAGCCCAGTACCCACCCCAGGTGGAGATAGGTCACGCGAAACCCGAGGGGAACAACATACGTACATACAGACATACAGATGCATGTGTATATGTATGTATATACATACATACCTACCTACCTACCTACCTACCTACCTACCTACCTACCTACCTACCTACATACATACATACATACATACATACATACATACATACATACATACATAGATATATCGTTTTATCTGTATAATGTGTGTACACCCGTCTGAGGGGATAAGTCGGCCAGTGAAGCAAGGCCATGTCAGTGGGCATGGCCATCGATGAAACAATTTTCGGGGGGGATGGGAGCGAGCATTCGCTCCGAAATCCTGATTAGAATATCCAGGACTGTTGAATCGGTATTTCGTTACCCCCACCCCACCCCACCCAGAAAAGTGCATGTTCGTTGACCGCTGGAGCCTCGGGTCGCACTCGACCTCACGTGCGCCCGTCCTGGGCCCGACTCGGACCGCATTCCTTCCCGGTGCGCCCATGGTTCGAGCCGCTCGCTCCTTCGCCCCTCCCTCCCTCCGCCTCCCTCCTGCCTCGGGGCTCCAGAGCTGCTGGGGGCCTGGAGCTCTTCAAAGAGGCGGAGCTCTCCAAGGATCGGGGGTCGAGCCTCGGGCTCCGAGGAGCGAGCTCCGAGGCATGGGCGCCCCCGGGCATCCCCGTCCCGCGCCCCTGGGGGGCCAGCCCCCCTCCCCGGCCTGGCCTGGCACGGCCTCGAGGGGGGCGGACCCCACGCCGCTTCGCGACCGGGCCGGCGCCACCCGCGGCCGCCCTGGAGGGCCGGGGCCTGACATGTTCAAGGTGCAGTATTCCGTGGCATCGCTCGGACGTGTGCATCTTTTTCCTTCGGCGAGGACCATCGAGGAGCATCCTCGCTGATTTGGCGACAAAACCACGCACGTCACCGAAAAAAACACAGGGAGTGGACGTCCGAGCGATGGCCAGATTCTGCCTGCTTCTTCGACCGACGTGTAGGAGCACAGCCGTCAACAGGTCGCGGCGCACGCGCTGCCGGAGAGTCTGCCTGCTTGCACAGGCGCCCGGTGTTGTTTCACTGCTGCCACGTGCCGTCCCTGCTATGGGGCGAGCGGCTCTCGGCGGTGAGCCCGGGGGGGAAGTGAGAGGGGGCGGGTCTTCTCGGAAGGTGCAGAAGGCCTCGGGCCTTATGAGAAGTTTTCGGCGCCTTCCCCAAAGACGCAGATAATTGTCCGGAAGGCCGGAGGGTTTTTGAGAAGCCCCGCAGCCTTCTGAGAAGGCACTCTCCTTCTCATTTCCTCCCCGAGGCGCGCCGCCGACGCTCTTCGAGTTGCCAATTCCAGACTTGGTTGGGAAACGGGGTGGGGCAAGGTTTGCTGCACGCAGCCAGTTGCGGCCCCGCCGCCAGTGACGTTCCTCGGCGCACGATGGGTCCCGGCGCTTCCAGCCGCCAGGAAAGCCAGCTGCATGTGGATCAGGAGGGAAAAAAACACACAGACACAATGAATCGTCGATCCCCAAGAAGATATGGGAAAACATGGGAATTGGGCGGGAAGACAAAAACCCAGAAGATATGGGAAAGTATGGGGCCCGAGGACACCCTCGGGCCTCTTGAGTGGACGATTCGCTCCCCCCCTCTTCGCCCACCCCGAGAAGAGGCCCCCCGCCCCAGCAGGAGGCCGCCCAGCCTCGCCAAGCGCCGCGCGCGTGGCTGGATGGGGTCGAGGGCAGGCACCCGGCCACTGGCGAGAGACGGTCTGGCTAGCTCGGCTGCTCTTCGCTGCGGGTGGCCCGGGCTGAAGTTGTCTGCGGCTCCCTTTTCGCTGAGCTGGCCTTGGTCATGTCTTCGCTCGGGTCCCTGCTCTCTGGATCGCTCGCTCGCCCACCCCAAGGAAAATCGGGGAGGAGGATGGGGAGGAGGAGGACCCTCAGATGCCTTCTCCGACACCATCGCGAGGCTCCTCGCTTGCACCCTCGCGCGGTGGCCCGGCAGCCCATCATCGCCGTCTTTTTGGGAGGCTGGGGTTGAGGAGTTCGGGGAGGTGGTGGGGTCTCTTGCTCTCGATTTCCTGTCCGCCCATCTCACACCTGCCTCTCTCGTACCTGCAGGCAGGGGAGCGAGTGCGGAGGGTGCTACCTCCGCGCACTGACGTTTCGAGCGGTCGCTCCCGCGGCTTGCCCAGGAGGAGAAAGTTCGGATCTCGTCTTCAGGAACCAGTCGGGGCTGTCACGTGTTCACCGTTCTAGGCCTTTGGAGGCGCAGTTTCGGGCCTGGGGGTCATCAGGAAACGGTCTGGGAGTGACGGGGGCTTACGTCACGAAAATCTCGTGGCGTCTCGAACAACAAAAAAAAATGTCAGAATTCTGCGGGGATTTCTTGGATGCGCGCTGGGTCCCCCAGGCGGCGCCTCCGGCGCCGCCCCTTGCGCGCTACGCGCGCCAGAGATGGGGTCCAGCGCCGATCCAAGAAAGCCGCGCGGAGTTCCAAAAGTTCATGCTTAGCTTAGGCAATCGTTCCTTCCTCTAGCGTCGGAGCGGAGCAGCAGCACAAGCAGCAGCAGCAGCAGCAGGAGCTGGAGCAGGGTGTCAGGGGGCAGGGGGCGGGGTGCAGTAGGAAGACGAGGCGGAGGAAAACGAGGACAGGGAGCAGCAGCAGCAGGAGCAGGCAGCAGTAGAACCATCAGGGGGCAAGAGCAGGACGAGAAGAGGAGAGGAGAGGGCGGAGGGTAAGATGGGAGGAAGATAATAAGGTGCCCACGCGTCCACGGTGGCAACCCACCGAGTACATATCAGCATTCCTCTCCCTCCTCATACTTCTCTCCCCACCTCCTCCATCTCACCTTCCCTCTCATCAGCCTTCTCATGATCTCGCAGCCAGCCGACAAGGCAGTGGTGAACGGCGTGGAGATGGACTACAGTGCCTTCGATTGTCCTTGGGTTGACTCCCTCGACGCCGACTACCCGGCCTTGTGCGTGCCGTACCAGAACGTCCTCAATCCAGTCGACCACCCTGACTTCCCTAATATCCATCCAGAGGACAGGAGAGTAAAGAAGAAGGAGGACGAGGAGAAGGGGGTATTATTCGCCTCCCCTTTTTGCCACGCGGCTGCTTGCCGTTGCACGTTTCTCTATTTTGCTTGACTGCTTGCACCTTAACGGCACGGCATTGCGGACGAAAAGTTTGGACAGAGTGGAAATGAGGGGACGGTTAGGGGAGTGAGGAGGGAAGGGTTGTCGTGCACCTCCAGGACAGGGATGCGAGTTTCCCCCACGCCAGCCTGAACTGCGCGGCCGAGGTTGAGACCGCGTCGACGAAACATTGGCTGCCCAGCACATGCGCGGCCAACGCTCCGGGAGAGGAGTCGCCAGTGTGCAAGACGTACATCAAGGATTGCAAGTTCTCTACTAAGGACACACGTACGTGCGACAGTGAAAAATGCGAGGAGATCCGGTCGATCACTACCACGAGCGACCCCATCTATCCAGACGAGACCCGCTTTGAGCTCCCAGGCGCGTATCCGAATGCGGATGGCGAGTGCACAGAAGAGGATGCTTCGTTGCAGTGGCTAGCTTGCGGAATTCCATGCCCACTTCCGTTCCCAAGGGAGAAACTAGATGATACTTTCACTATGCTTGCGATCGCCATTATGGCATTCATCGGACTCAGCACCATAATTGGCCTTGCCACGATCTTCGTCGTGAAAGGTGACCATAAGAACTTCTTCGTTGCAGGGCGGAACTTGCCACTTTTCGTGGTGGTCGCGACGCTGGGCAGCCAGTGTTTTGACGCTTCGTCTGCTTTGGGCAACCTAGATTTGGGATACACCTACCACTGGTGGGATGGGGGTGCGTTCCCTATTGGCTTGGGCATCTCGCTTCTCCTGAATGGCATATTCTTCGCGAAGCCGCTCAACGAGATGAAGCTGCTGACGCTCCCGGACGTCTTCCACTACAAGTTCGGGCCAGCCACAGAGATGGTGGCTTCCATTGTGACGATCATATCCGAAGGGCTGCGCTTCCTGCCGCCGGCCCCCGGGGGCCGAGCCATCCTGCGGCTGTCTTGGGACAGCCTTTGGCATCGCTCGGACGTGTGCCTTTTTCCCTCGGCGAGGACCATCGAGGAGTATCCTCGATCATTTGGCGAAAAGAAAAAACCACGCACGAAACCGAAAAAAGCACAGGACATGGACGTCCGAGCGATGGCCAGCAGCCTGGGGCCCTCCTCGCGCCACAGCGGGGCCGCTCGGGAGCAGCTCGGGGCCTCGCGGGCCACCCTTTGGACACCCCTGGTTGGCAGTCTTCCTCCTCCTCCTCCTCCTCCTCCTCCTCCTCCTCCTCCTCCTCCTCCTACTCCTCCTCCTCCTCCTCCTCCCCCCCCTCCCCCTCCCCCTCCCCCTCCTCCTCCCCCTCCCTCCAGGGGCCCCCGGGGCCCATCGGGGGCCTGTTGGCGCCCCGTTGGGCCATCTTGGGCGATCTTGGCAAGACTTGGCAACGCTCGGGGGGGCACCTGTTGACAGTGCCTGGGGCCCTCGGGGGCCGTCTTGAAGCGTTCTTGGGACATCTTGACGAGCAGAGCATGGAAGAGGTCAAAGTCGGCGAAATCCTCATGGTTGCTCAGCGATGTTCCCTGCAGAGCTTGTCTGTAAGGGTTCTGTAAATGTGTTTCGCAAGAAGGGCCACGGGGCCCGTGGCCAGCCCCGGAGTCCGTGGCTTGATGGTTTTGCGCATGGTCTCCCGCACGGATCCGGCCCCGGCCCCATAGTCGGCGAATTGAGAGTCTCCTTTTATGGCCTCCTGTATGGCTTCCTGGTCTCTCGCATGATCTCCAGTATGGTTTCCTTATATGGTCTGCCCTCTGTTATCCCGCGTGTGTGTGTGTGTATGTGTTCCCGCATGTCTGCCCACATGTTCTCCCGTAAGTGCTCCCGTGTTTTTTTCTCCCGTATCTTCTCCCGCATGGTTTCCCGAATTGCATCCCATCTGATGTTCCGCTGTTAGATGGTATTATGTCAGTGTGTTATCCTGTATAGTCTCTTGTCTGTTATCGCGCATGTTCTTCTCTGAAGGTCTCCTGTATGATCTCGTACAAGATACACGGTGTGTTGTCTTGTGTGTTATCCCGTATGTTATATTATGTGGCCGCCCGTATGGTTTCTCTGCGCACGCTAAAATATAATGTTTACTCTACGTCGTAGTCATGTTGCTTATAGTATTATGTCTGCCGCCAGGGTGTAATTTTCTCTCGCGGGGGCGTCATAGGGCCTTCCTATTCCACCGTAGATACCCATTTGGGCCATCGACGGCTGTCTTGAGCTCTCGAGGCACTCGGCGAGGCTTTTGGGGGCCGTCCCCTTTTGGCTTTCTGGCGGAGCACCCAGGGGGAATCCTTGGGGGCACCCTGTAGCGCACACACACACACACACACACACACACACACACACACACACACACACACACGCACACACACACACACGCACACATACACACACACACACACACACACACACACACACACACACACACACACACACACACACACACACACACACACACACACACACACACACACACACACACACGCACACACACACGCGCACGCGCACATCAGGTGGCGGTTGGAGGGTCACGGGCACCCCTGACAGTGAAGACAGAGACACGTTTGGAGAAGCAAGCGATAAGGGGCGAGACTAAAGAACATAAGACAGCATTCCAGCAGAGATTTCGCGGCCCGCACCCCCAGAGGGGTTGGCTGATCTTTTCTGTTCTTGCTGGCAGGTAACCTCGTCGGTTGTGGCAAGATTGTGTCGTTCTTGTTCGACATAGACGACGTCATTGGGATCATGATTTCGACAGCGCTCATTTGGGCCTACAGCGCTGCAGGTGGCCTCGTTTCTGTTGCCTACACTGATGTTGCGCAGGCAGCCATTGGTTGGACAGGCTTCGTCGTTGGAACAATTTGGATTCAGCAGAACATGCCGAATTACCCTGGGGTATCGGCTGCGTACCCGCTCGGAGATAAGCCAGTCTTCTGGGAAGGCATGAGCGATGCCAACTCTTACGACCCCATCCCGAACGCAATCACATTGAATTGGGCTACGATCATAGTGCTTGCATTCGGCAATCTGATGG